TTTTCAAATCCAGGAACGAAGGACTGTTCTTTGATAGTTCACCTTGCATGAGAGTCAATCTTTAACATTTTAATAAGATCTATTGAATTGAACATAAATAGTTTAAAAAAGGAAAATTTTCGCATACCTGAGGGAGGGTCGAAGTAAGGAAAAAAAAGTACAACTCTGGACTAAAGTCTTTTCCCTCCCTCGGATCTCATCCATCATTAGAGTTATAGGTCTGAAAATTTATGGGCATACTCTATAGTACACTTTCTTGAAAGAAAAGGTTTAGGTGACAGAAATGAAAATTAATAGTTTCGAGTCCAACGACGCAGACGTACGTCCCAACATTTTTATTGAGGATGTGGGTGAACGTATAGGTATAGGAAAAGATTTCAAATATACCCACACTCACACCCGCGCCCTATATGGGTCCGGTTCGGATCGGATCCTGGTGTAAAAAGTCGTGCTCGTGCAGGACATTAGTATTGGCATGGGTGTGAGTGTAGGTGAAGCGAAGAAACAAACTCAGAGCCACATTCCACATCCATACCCACACCCTGCGAATTTTTCGAGGCATTGAACCTTTCCTTCCTTTTCTCTCCTTACCAGTGAAATTATTAAAAAGGGCTCTTGCATACCCTACATCCTGACATGCTTTTTCAAAGAAAAACATAGTTAAATCTAGACAATAAAGGTCCGTAGAGAAGTTTCAATTGCCAAACGAGCTTGTTTCTTTCCCTTGTTTGTCAAATATCTTGCGAAAAACGTCATGATATAGGGCTGAAAATTCTACCATAGTCTCTCCACTACAGACTCAACATATCCAGAACATTTCATATAAGTCGAACGAAACTAATCCAAGATTGATTTTTGACAGTAAGGAGCCTTAAAATCTATTTGTCTTTTCAATTTTTTAATTTGCAAGTTGGTACATGAAAATGCTAAGTTTTTTTTATTTTAGCAAGATTTCGAATTCTTTTGTTTCAATGACGCTATGGTATATTGAATCGAACCATTGAAACGCCTTACTGCTAGACAAAAAAAATGAAAAAAAAATCGCGTTTTGACGACCAATTTTTTGTTGATTCTAATTAATAGATACATGTGTATTAAAACGTGTTTGTATGAGAACAAACTTATTTTAATCAGTTAAAATTTTTGATTCATCATATGAATGAGTTATAATACGTTTTTTCTCGATTTTCTATCTGAATGCATTGAAACACAATTTTTAGCGTTTACTTGTCTGCATACGATATCCATACATCTTGTTTCCATGGAGCAAAATATACAAAAATGAAGTTTCATAGACTGTAAAGAAATGAAAACTGGAACAAGGTTCATATAATTTCGATAAATATAGATGCAGTTTTTATCTGAGAGATAGTACATATGTGGATCCGATTGAAATTATCCTCTATGCACACGTCCACATTTGTGTTAGACATGAATAAAAACCAAATAACAGTTTATAAAATTTGTAATGTCAATGATTGAATATAGCTTATCAGTTGATAAATAATCTGAACAGTCCAATGTATTCCATCTGTCCGATTATTATCAAATGGATCATTGACAGAAATAAAACGAGCTAATCTATAATACCAACGAAATGGAATCATAGAAATTTGTGCCCATTGATGGCTTTTTACTGATGCATAACAACTTGCCAAAACATCATTTACCAATAAAGTTCCTGTATTTAATAATAAAAATATTTAGAAAAAAAATAAATACAATAAAATTTAAATTAACCTGCCAATGTTAATGGAGCGAAATATCCTTGTTTTATTTCAATAGTTATATTTCTAATTGGTGAAGATTCTATATGATCATTAACTAAAGCATAAAGTTGATCACTCAATTGAACTTCTCGAGCCGCCATGTAATTTATTTCGTTATTTGACGAAATAATCGGTAGTAAATGAAGACCTGTTAAACTTATTTTATGATCCGAATCAGTTACAAATGTATAAAATTGAGCTAAAACAAACCTATTAAAGAAAAAAGATATATTAAGATGGAGTAGCAAACCTTGTTTTGATCTTTGTTTATCCAACATAATAACCATTTCAGTAGGAACTATTTTCAAATGATCAACAGTCAGAATTTCATCACCTGTTTGAAGATAACTGATTTGTTTCCGTTCCCCATTTGTTAACATTACCGATGAATCACCAGAAAAACATGCCAAAACTTCTGTTGAATATGCATTCGCTCCTATATCATTTTAGAACTTCCTTCGTAGAAAAAGCTCTAACTATTTTATCTTTACCCTTTTTGCTACTTGCCTGTCCATAACTATGATATGTTACTGTAAGATATAGAGTAACAATTTTGAAAATATGCATTCTTTTATACATGTATTAAAACGATGAAATGAGTAATTTTAATAATGAAAAACTATTTTAAAAACATCCAAGTTTGACTTGACTTCACTTTAAATGATTGGATTCGATAATAAAATATTTTTTCTTCATGTAACATTAATAGAAGAGCAAATAGTTTTGCAAATTTTTCATCGGTAATGTATCTTTATATTTACTTTAAAAATTTAATAATTAAATATTGACAAGTCAATCAAAAATCACAATTTACATATTTTAAAAGCAATAACCAAATAAAGATAAATTTAAAGAGCAGCGTTTTTTGCTTTTCTTCTGAACTACTTTCAATTCTGATTAAAAAACAAGACAATTATTGAGTCACTTTCATTATTGACTTTCGACATTTACAAAAGAGAAATGTCATTGTAGTATTTGATTGGCTATCAGTGAAGTGTAATTAAAACTTTGCTTAATTCTCTATGAAACAAGACTTGATGGAAGGAAAAAAAAACTATTCTAAATTGGCATTATATGAATATTGGCGTAATTTTTTTCATACAGCGCTCGTAATTCCAAATTGAAGTTAAATCTTTTTGTTACAGTTTTTCAATCTAGTTGTATATACCTTGTTAAGTTAGCTCTTTAGATATTGCTTTTAGCACATTCACGCAATTTTGTTTTTAGTGACAACAATTACGGTGGTAAGGTTAAATAAAAAGTAGAAAAGTCCACTATACTCACTGAAAAATGTTCATAGAAAAAAACCGAAAACAACACGTTTGTCAGATTATAGAAAAGTATCGTGTCCATGACGAAGAGGGTGTGGGAGGTGAGTGTGGGGTATGGATGTGAAAGTGGGTGCTGGTGTAGATCTTCTCTTCAACCATAATCTCACTCACACCCATATTCTCACATTCTATTATGAAAATAATTCATAAAACCTAAAGTTGATTTTTTATTTGTTATTCATATTTCATTTCTTCATAAATAATGTTGATGCTAATCTGAATACCTCTGTAGAATTGAATAATTGAATGGAAGCATTTTAATATCTTCTATTATTTCTTTTGCAATATGTTTACCATCGATTTGAGTCACACTATAATACAATTCAATTTCCATGGTCATCTTTTTATTTAATTAACTGTTATTTAATTATATTTGCTAATTTTCAAATTTACTTGCAGACCTAACTAATCAATAACTGATCATTGAAGTAATTTACTGTTCAATCGTTCGATTTACGGTTTGTATAATATTCTAATGTACAGATCATTTTATCTATTTTACTGATCATTTAAATCATAGCCTTTTAAAAGAAATAGAAAAAAGCTCACTAGCTTTCAATATTCTAAGAATTATAGTAAAGTACTTTGACCGATTGATAAGTGCTTCTCAGATTTCATAGAAGAGACTTTGAACTATCAACCAGTATATCTTTTACTTAATTGTAAATTACCGATACATTGTGAAATAGAAAATAAGCCATAGAGAATACAAAAGGATATTCTAAGAATGCTCATATGAATTCATACACGAGTTTCTAATTTCCTGAAAATACGCTTTTTAAGAAATTATAAATAAAAAATTCGATTTTCTCATTAGAAAATCGAAAGTGAATTCATACTGGCATTCCTAGAAATTCGTAGACTATTTATTGATTAGAACATTTTTTATGAATTTGAAAATCAGTTTTCCCATATACACACGTAATGCATAAAAGAAAACATAAAATAATTTAAGTAATTCTGAATGATATACAATCACAAACAGAAAAATATCTCTCTAGAATGCATGATTGTTTATTTTATACTCTTTTAAAAAATTGTTTAGCGGACTTTAATAAAACAACTGATCTTCTCTTCAATGATAAATTATTCAGGATTTTCCAAGTTGTCTGAACATTTGCTGTATATTTTATATTAAATATTTCATGCATACGATTCAAATAAAACGGTCATAGCTTCAATTTGTGAATTCATCGTAATACATGTATTTTATCCAATAACAATAGAATAACTTTTAGTATTATTAATTGTTTGTATTTGTATAATTTGATAAACATCAATTGTTTGCTAGAATAACCAATAATAAAATTGAAAAATTAGAACTAAAAAAATAATTCAAATTACCAATAAACTACTCACATGATTTAATAAAACTTTGTAGAGTATTTGTGACGTTTCATAAGCAAAATCTTTAACATAAAACACGACTGTTCTTCTAAAAATACGAAAAATATTATACAAATAGTAATAAAAGTACATTAGTTTTATTAATATTTTTTTTTCCTTGACCAAGTTCATCGCATGAATAAGCTGTATAAAAACAAATAACAAAGAATCGATGTATACATGACACTTAGACTATATCAGATACTTTGAATAAATTATTTAAACTTACCAATATTTAAATCAGATATTAGGCGATTAAAAAAAATATACTCTCTAGCACTTACCAAATTAGTCACTGATAAAACTGAACTAAATTTGACAACTTCTTGGATGATCATAATTTGTTGTATTAATTAAAACACGCATTGATTCACTTTGTTGATATATAATTACATTAGATATTCTTCTGATTGTTGTTTTTCTTCAACTAAATATTTCTAAAAAGATTAGAAAAAAAGAATTCAAATCATATAGAACAATAGTTTGCCTTTTACTCGACGAGATATATTGCCAACCGTCACAAATTTCAATTTTTGTCCCGGCATTTTATGATCATATGATTAGCATTTTTTTTTAACAATATTTTACACGAATAACTGAATACTTATCGATCACGAGAGAACTGTTGTTTTAGTGCTGGTGCTAAAGAAGCTCTGAACAAGAAAAAAAAAATAAAGACGAAAAAAAAGTATTCGATCTTTTATCTAACATACGATACCTTCGCCAAATATTTTTCTAAGTGCTGAATATTTATTTTTCACGCTAACTATCATTTGATCGAATTCACATGATATTGAATTAAAATTAATTTCATAAGTATTCATTACATCATCACAAATTGCTTTTTAGTAATTGTTGTTTTTCACTGCATCGTGCTCCAAAGTCTGCTGGTGATGGATCTTTAACAGCTTCTTCAAAAGCTTTATCAAATCTTGGAACCATTTAATTTAATGAAAACATCTTTCTTGATTGGGATAATGTTGAGCTTGTTGAAGAGTAGTCTAATAATTGATGGGTCATAGGTCAAGTGGTGTATGAGTAACTTGTAAACAGTTTGAGTTTAAGAAAGATTGATAAAGTGATTGTGTTGATGTATATAAAGTTGGTGGTGTACACTATCAATATTGAAATAATTGGAAAATGATAAATCATTTGATTCGTTACAGTGCAATTGTTGTTTAAGTATATCAGATATTTTTTTGCTGAATACTACAATTCTAGTAAAACAGAAAAAAAAGATTAAGTTGATCAACTAAAGCAAATGAATAAACATTGTCTCTTAATGTCCTAGTTTTTTTTCCAATATTGTTTTAATACCAATGATTACTTTTTAATAACGTTATCATCATCATCATCATCTGTACTAAACGACAATAATTCTTTGAATGACAATTAACTTTGATGGTATAAAGATAAACCATTAATTTTTTTTTCTAGAATAGATAAAAACAGACTGAATAATTAAATGCTAGAGCTTTTCGTCGATGCTTAAATTTTTTTAACGTATTTTTCTAAACCATTCTCAGCCAATCACCTTGACACATCTTCAATAGCCCACTCCATATATTAATAACCTAAAATAAAGTAGAAAAATAGAAAAAAAAATGAAAACGATATTTTTAGTTTTTCTTAAGTCTTCAATAAACAAATAAATACGAAAGATTTGAAAATACGTTAAATAAATATGTCAATATTAAGAACTCAAAACAAAAATTACTCAACAAGAGTTGAAAGATAAGGCATACGAATGAAACACATCATAATTAGTACAATGATTTTTTCGAAATAGAGATAGAATTTCGAATATTGTTTAAAATCATTGTTGATTTTCCATTTGTTTGGAAATGAATTTTTTCGAAAATCGAATTGAATTTGCATTATCTAGAAAATCAAACATTTTCTAACTATTTAAAATACGACCAATGAGCAGTAAAAGTTTTAAAATGCTTTAATATTTTAAAATTCGATTTTCTAAAAAGATAGAATTTATATAAAATTTACAGTGTATAATGAGTATGAAGTTGGAAAAATAAAATTTTAGCCGCTTTAACTAGAATAACATGAATTACATCGACTGAATAAATTGAATTACTTTGATAGAGCATTCAGTAGTTTGTAAAAACTCACCCAAAATATTAATTTTTTTTGAAAGGCTTTTATATGATTCGATAGAGAATACCTGAAGTTATCATTAAATTTAAAACAGTCTTTTTTTCTGACACAGAATGACTGAAAAATGATCAAAAGGCACTCATTTTTCTTTCAAATGATTTGAATTACTCCAATTGACTATAAATAAATAACATGAAACACGTTTTCGAATTAACTTTACATCGTTCTTTAAACATTCTTATAAGGCAATTACTTTAAAAAATTAATTTTATTTCGGTAAGTCGATTTTTAGAGAGCATAAGTGGACACTACAACATTGATCTGTATTCTTTATATACTGGGCAGTTTGTTTTTCGGTTGGTTCGACGTCAGTTTTGCGCGTTTATCAGGACGTACGTAAGTGGCTATGAGAAATCAAAAGAGAGAGAAAGAGAAAGGGAGAAAGACAAACTAGTCTCTTTCTCCTCTCTATTTTCTGTTGGTCACACATGAATAACGTTTTATTGTAATAGTGTATCGTCTTAACTGTCTCTCATTCATTATATACCTTCTATGATTTTTTTTTCGCCTTGTCATTATTATTTCCATGGTCGATGATAGTCACTACGTTAATATATTTTTCACTCTCTCGCCTTTCTCGTTGAGGCAATGAATAAGAGACATCCTTTTCGATTTGGATGGGATAAAAAATGGATCATAGATAAATAAATGTGATAAATGTATAATCACTGATCAAAAGGTTATTTTCTTTCATTGACAGTTACACGAGATAAAAAGAAAAGAAAAAGCCTATTAGTAACGATATACACCTCCACCTACGACAAAAAATCACTCTCTAAGAGCAAAAAAAAGATAAATCTCTCTCCCTCTCTGACTATCCACGAAAAGAAAATTTTTTTTGCAAATTTCACCTTGCTAGGTTGCCAACAACTATATAAAGTCGAAGTACAACTGTACGACTGCATCAGTCAGATACTTGTTGATATACATTTACCCGTGTATCTTCAAGCTTCGAAAAGCAACAAGTGGCAATGAATCAAATCAATACAATGGTTTCTTTGATCGTTTTTTACCGTGTTGGTGACAATAATTCACAATGCACAAGCAACCGGTGTGGACAGTGCAGATACCCAACGTTTACTCCGTCAAACAGTCTACAAACATAGAAATTCTTCCTTTATCACAAGGTTTCAGGTTTCAGCACCAGTCATATAATCAACTACGAATCTTTGCCACGACTTCAGCAAAAAATTTGAATAGTTGCTTGGTGTGAAATATTCCTCGATCGAGTCATCACCAACAATGTACTCAAAATAACATATTCCCTTCAACATGAACAAAATATTTAAATAGTATTTTGATGTGAACTGTTCCGTGATCGACTGTTTTTCAATAACGGATTCACAACAAAACGATTGCTTGGAATTGACCGAAGTAGTCAAATAAATGTTTCATATCAGTTATTCCTTGATAGAATGTTCTCCGACGACATAATGAAGCAACATTCTTTGTTTCGAATTGTAAGAAATATTTAAATAGCTCTTTCCACGGCTTGTTCCTGCAGCAGGTAATTCTCGATAATCTAATCAAATCAGAAAATTTACTTCGAATTGAAGGAAATACACGAATATCTATTTAGTATGAATTGTTCCTTGATAGAGTCTTCGCCGACGATGGGATGAAGCCTGCACATTCGCGTATAATTCATTGTAATAGTCAAATACGTGATTGGTATGAGTTATTCATTGATTCAATATTCTCTAATGATGTGACCACCTAAAAGGCTTGCTTCAAATTGTCGGAAATATTTGAATAACTCTATGATACGGGATGTTCGTCGAGCGAGTGTTCCTCAATCATGAAATGACTTGTAAGTATTTAGTCGGAATCGAACGAAATATTTGATTAGTTGTTCACTACAGATCGTTCCATTCCTTAGTATTTCATGATGTTATAATGAAGTGCTAATCTGTGGTTTGAATCGAAGGAAATACATGAATATCTTCTTACTGTGAGTTCTTCATTGAGCGAGTGTTCATTGATGATGGAATTATACCAGAATATTTGCGTATAATTTAGCGACATAGTCACATAGGCGTTTAATATGAGTTATTCGTGGATTGAGTGTTTCTCACGATATAATCAAGTGCTATTATTTGTTTCCAATGGCAGAAAATATTTGAGTAGCTTTTCAGGAGTGGTTCATTAGACAAGCGATTGTCAACGATGGAATTTATCCGAAACATTTCCTTATAGTTCAGTGAAGTAGTTACATAGGCGTTTAGTATGAGTTATTCGTTGATTGAGTGTTTCTCACGTTATAATCAAATGCTATTGTTTGCTTCGAATGGCAGAAAATATTTGAGTAGCTTTTTATGAGTGGTTCATTAGGCAACCGGCCGTCATCGATGAAATTTAACCGTTATTTTCGCTCAGAAGTCACAGAAATAGTGGAATAGATATTTTGTATGAGCGATTCCTAGATTCCATGTTGCTGATGATATAATCAAGTGCGATGCTTTGTTACAAATTGTAGGAAATATTTGAAAAGCTTTTTATGAGTGGTTCATTGGACGAGTGTTCGTCAACGATGGAATTTAACGAGGAGATTTATTGATAATTCAACGGAATAGTGGAATAGGTGTTTTGTACGAATTATTCCTTGATTGAGCGTTTCTGATGATGTAATCAAGTGCTATTATTTGCTTCTAATGGCAGGAAATATTTGAATAGCTTTTTATGAGTGATTCACTGGACAAGTGGCTGCCAACGATAGAATTTAAGGGGAACATTAGCTTATAGTTGAGCAAAGTAGTCAGATAGATGTTTCCTCTGAGTTATTCATTGGTTCAGTGTTTCTGACGATATAATCAAGTGCCATTGTTTGCTTGGAATCACACAAAATATTTGCAAAGGTTTTTATGAATTTTTCATTGAGCAAGTGTTGTGGGATTGTCTAATCATCATAAAATGGTTCTTTCGAGTTGAACAGAATACTGGAATATTTATTTGCTTTGAATTATTTTTGTATCGAGTTCTGTCAGTTACTATCAGCAACTTGAAATCTATGTTTGGATGTACGTAGATTATTTGAATGACTTTTTTACGAGCCGCTCATCTGGTAGGAAATTTGAATAGGGAATGGCTGCCAGCGTTTCTTTGAAGCGAGAAGCATATTTGAATAAGATGTTTAAATCAGGTATGTTATGATGACATAGTGTTGATTTTAATCCCGTAGTGATTCCACTAACAACTTGGTTTTCTTTGCAAGACAGATGGCACAAACACAATATCTTGTCCTTACATGAAGCGTTGCTATCTATATCATCATTAAAGCCAATAAACATTATTTACTAGCTTGTTTTCTTCTTCCATCTTTTCGTTTATATTATCGCAATCTATTTCTCTTGTCTTCTTATGTACTTAGTATTTTGTTTTTTTTTCATTTTTTTTGTAGTAGTTATCATTATTGATTTTAATAAACTGTATGTAAAACATATTTTGTTTGCATCAATAAATAATACGATATTGAAAATATGAGTATTTCATTTAAAAAGAAAATTTTTGATTTCATTATTATAATGAAAAAAGGCATAGATGAATAATACTCAATCAAAAAAAAACCTATTTTTGTTTTTGTTTTGTTGAATTTTCGATCATATTGTTCCAATCATCACCAGCACAATTGATAAAACATAAACTGGTTGTATCACCATCAACTCGACCAGGACATAAACCATCATTTATAACAATAATTAGACTTTTGATTGTTCATATAGAATAAACAAATATATCTCTGAATATAACAATGAATCATCATGTTAAATAGCTGCTCTCATACCTACATTTTATGAATCGAAACATGGACTTTTATTAATACCGATTATATCTATGTATCAATGGCATTAAAGAAAATACGATATTGAATAAATGAGTATTTTATTCAAGAAAAAAGCCATAGATAAACAATAGTAAATTTTAAAAAAATTATTTTTGTTTTCGTTTTGTTGGGTTGATCCAGTTGATGTGGTTATAAATGTTCACGTGGCGCTCGCAACAATAAGACCGAAAATTCCACAAAACAAATAACAAAAACAATTTTTTTTTCATTATTATTTATCTATGCTTTTTTCATTACTATAATAAAATCAAAAAAATTCCTCTCGAATAAAATAATCATTTATTCAATATCGTATATTTTTTTTATGCTACTGTTCCACATATATTAAATGACATTAATGAAAATTCATGTTGTGATTCATAAAATGTGTGCATTGCAGCAGCTATTAAGCATAGCGATTCATTACTATATTTATAGATAAATTTGTTTATTCTACATGAATAATCAAAAGTCCAATTATTATTATTATAAACGATGACACAGATAATCCTGTCTATCTCTTATAAACTGTTCTGATACTGATCGCCACAATATCACCAAAAAATCGACAAGGATGTGGGTGTGGGTATGTTTTTTTAGAAGAGCACATTGACATCAACATCGACATCGACAGCCACAGCCACACCCCGCACCCACACCCACCCACACCACACATCTACACTCACATCCAACTTCTGATTTTAGAAGAAAATTCGATTGTTTCTGTATAGATAACGATGAAAATACCTCTTCATATCAAATTCATTTCTTTTCAGTTTTTCTTGAAAAATGTGAACGAATAAACGTTCTTGAGAAATCAGTTTTCATTGTTTCTAAAGATTTCCCAATAGCCATACATCACTCAAACAAGTCTGACCATTGACATCATGACCACCGACGACATACCAAATAATTGGAGTAAGCAAACTGATGGCGCCACTGCTACTAATAGGAACAATTTGAGTATATAAACGAGGTGATGGTGCAGGCGATGAAAGATTCATTGAACTCCAAGTATGCTCAGCATAGGAATAAAACCATAATTCTGGCTGATTCTTCGCTGACCACATCATATATACCGATTCTTCAGTCGCTGTTCTGGCTGAAATTGCTACATGACCAGCTGAATCAGGTGGTTTAGGACCAATTGAAGTCAAATTGATAAATTTACCTGTTTGAACATTGAAATGGTAAAATTGATTTTGTTCCCATCCTCCATATACAACTAAAGACTTTAAATTATCGAGAATTCGATGATTGTTTGATTTTTTGACCCAGTTCAGAGCAACCACGCTAAATAACCATTCTTGTTTAGGTACAAATGATGATAAACTTGGTACCGATGTGAAAGTATTCGTATGTACATCGTATAGCCAAATTTCAGTTGCTGCAGACACATTCGATGTGGCACGATTGCTATTTAGAAAAAAAAATTTTCCCTCGGGTGTAGCGATGGCTCCGTTATTATCAACCATAATCGTTTTTCCAGGAATGCCATCATTCAATTTTGACCAAATAAATGTTTTTAAATTTAAACGCCATACATCAGAGAATGGCGCTTGTAAATCGTACTTTTCACCGTGTCGACCACCAAAAATAAGCATCGAATCAGGATCAAACAATGGATCAATCCAAGCAAAATGACCCCATCGGCCTAATGGTGGATCATTAATGGTTAATAGTGGAGTCCATTGCAATGTCGTCAAATTAAATAGCCAAGTATCATTATAAGTTGGACGAAAATTTCCACAATGGTTCTTATTCAAGAGAAAAAAAAGGCTTTTAACGATTAGAACGATAGGGTTGAATGGCAAATCGATAGAATTCAGCTTACCGCTCCACCATACATCACAAGTGCGTCACGATACATTACATTGGAAGGTGATGTACGACCAACTGGACCATTTGCCAAATCACTACTGGCTAATTGTTTCCATTGTAATGCAGAAGTATATGTAATCAACCAAGTAACAAATATGATATGGATATGATCCAGCATTCTACAATTATACTGTAATCAAAATACAAAAGATCAATGCGAGTTAGTCGCGTATTGAATATTTCGTTTGAAAAAATGATCTTTGTTAGTTATCAGACCGAAGTTATCTTTACATTTCTATTATAAAGGTAATCAGAGAGTGATTTTTGATGAATTGCTAGGTGCTTCTCTTGTCCAAGTTGAAAAAACACATTGTGAACATTAACAACTGATCTGATTGATAAAATCGATTCTCGGAAAAATTCAGGTCTTTCAGAGAATCTTTCTTTTATGTTACTGTAAGTTTTTAAAGAAAATTCGATTCATTAATACGGACATCACCTTGACTAGTATCAATCAGAATTTACTTTCGTCAAATAAACCGTATGATGCTTGGTTAGATATGGTATTAGTAAGAAAATACGAGTAGAAAACAAGGATATTCATTGCTTTGGTTCATTCTTCATCTATCCTCTTGGATATACGAAGTGTTACACTTGATAAGTCGTGAGACTCAAATGATACGTTATTAGATATTTTTGACGAATATCAGTAAACTCGATCAATCTTCAGTACACCTAAATTTTATCAAATGTGATGTCACTCATAGAGGTCATTTGATCTTATTCATTCTCGAATGAAAACGTTGGAATAAGAATATTACCCAACGAAACTTACCAATAACCTTTTGCTAAAAATTATAAAGAAAAGATTCACTCACAAAACCAGGATGATAAAGAGAGTGGTGATAACAGATGGCCAAGCATTCAAACAGTCGTTGATAAACGCATATTGACATAAGTGAAAACAAAAAAGCATATCAACAATTACTAGCGAGAATACATTGAAAGATAGGTGTATTGATGACTAAAAAGTGACGATGATTATATCAAGCTAAAGTAATGTCATCATCATTTTCATCTGATAAAAAAAAAAGTGTAACTGCATTAAAATGTTTTCAAATAAATTAATCTCTAAATACATTTGAAAAGTAACGAATGGCACATAGAGAATTACAACCGTTTGTATTTTCGAAATTTCTCCTCTATTATCTCCTTTTTCCTATGCTTTTGTATGCGAATATTGGCCTATCGCGATTGTGGTAAAAAAACTTTTTCTGTCATAATCAAAACAAAAACCTCAACTATTATATACCATTCGATAGAGAATTTCATGGACTTCAAAATGGTATATAAAACATTAAGAAACAAGAAGGCTAGGTCACCTATTGCAAAAATACTTAAACGGAAATTGCTTTTGTACCTGTCGATGCTCTTACTGATCGAAGATTAAAGCCCCATCTTCTGACCAGAGAAACGATACTTCGAGGTTTTATCAAACTTGAACAAAGATTTTCTGGGGCGGAGAACTTGGATCAGAGCTCCACTTGCCTCAAAATCCTATTGCTTGACCAGTAACCAATTGATAGGGGTGGAAAGTTAAAGTTACCGTTACATTATCAGGTAACGGTAATGGGGTAACGGAAAATGCTATCCTTTCTATTTCCTTTATGAGAATGATTTTTGAGAAAATAACGATTTTTTACTTTTTGAAGTACACAGAACACTCGGATTTAAATCCGAAATTTTCACATTTATTTGCAAACTAGCGTTCATATGCCAGTAATCAATTTAAAATCAAAATCTACCACATAAATCGTCGAAATAATCGAAAAAAAAATCAGTGATTGAACTTTACTAATTTATTGAAGTTTCTAAAGAGCATTATTTTCCTGTTCTTATGTCTGTTTTCTTTGACAAAGTGATAGTCTATTCTTCTCTCTTTTCGCAACGATACGAAAGCTTTGCTATTTGACAAAACAAGCTATCTATTATCTTCCAGAGATAACAAATTTCGAATCTGAACTTTCGTTTTTGTGCGATGGAAAACCAATCATACATAATCGTGCAGAATTTCTAAAGAGAACTCTCTTTTACATTTTAAACAATGAGTCAGAATGTTTTCTGCCAAGTACAAAGTATTTCTCCTTCTCTATATATGATAAATAACATCGAAAAGAAAAAATCTAAGCCAACAGATAGGGAATACGTAGATTAACTAATTGAACATAAATAGATATTTTCACTAAGATGTTTGAGAATGTGTGCGAAAATGAGCGACATCTGTTTAGAACAACAAAATATGATACTTTTTATAAATGATCAATTCGTTTAAGGAGAATAATTGGGATTAATTTGAATTGTAATGTATCTATTAATAATGTCTCTGGTACAAAAGCTCAACAGAATGCTAAATTGTTGTATCTCTTGAAAAGTTTGTTGCTAAGAACGAAAGAAAAAGAAAAATTTCATGTGACATAGTTTGTCATAAACAAGAAGAGAAATAAATCAGTTCTGTTTTCTTGTTGATGATGAAAGTGTAAAACATTATTGAATATGATGATTGGAAAGTATGATCGAAGAAAATAGTAAAACAGACATTGAAAATCCTGATCTTATTTGTCCAATTACCTTTGAAATTTTTCACGATCCGGTCATTGCAAAAGATGGGCATGTTTATGAAAGAGAAGCTATTACACGATGGATTTTACAACATGGGACAAGTCCACTCACTCGACAGCCTTTACAAATCAATGATTTACAACCCGATGATCGTTTGAGACATCTTGCTCATCAAGGACGAAATTCAACTGTTTCCTATAATGCACATAATGCTTCTATTATATTGCCACCTCTACGAAGATTATCGATAAATATCAATGCACGAGTAGCTCCAGAACAAACCTCGAATTTAACTAGAATAACTCGACAAGTAAATCAATGTCCCATTAAGAAAATTCTTATAATTATCTGTTTAATTATTATTCCTCTCTTTATTATTTTTGGAATTTCTCTTGGCATAACAAACTTTGTATCTAGAGGTATTTACAAATGACGAAAACATTAACTAATATACCATATTTTATTATAGATATCACCTTCGAATTTTGCATCTCAAAACAAAAACTTTGAATAGGATTATTTTATTTTCTAAAATTCTCAGCTGATAAATAGTTACATAAAACAAAGTTTAGAACTAGGGATAGATATATTCTTCCATAAACCATTGATAAACATAAATGAGTTGCTAAAATGAATATCTTCAACGGTTGTAGGAAGAGTAAAGATCGAAAAATCGTTTGGAATAATTACACAACGAGAAAAAGAAATGTATGTCCTTCAGAAATATATTGTTTTCAGTCTATTAAGCTTAGAATTAGTTTTTGAGATTGTATCAAATAAAAAACATGACGAAAGTTAATTTTGCATGAAGTATTTACATAATAATTTTATCCAAAAATTTTTCTTTGTATGAGAATTCGATCTCATTGAAAAGAAAATGAAATAAAAAGCTATTCTTCTCTAATCTTTCTGGTATTTGTAGAACGTCAAATGAAAAAATCAATTTGTAGAAGTTTATTAACAAGAAATAGTACAATATATAAACGACCGGGAGCCAACGACACTCAATATTACTACAAAGCAATTCAAATAATGGTTTCCACCAGAGGTTTTTACAGTTTTCAGAGTAGTAGTAATAACGACATGTATGGCTATTTATATGAGAAATATTTTAATGATACAAGTCCATCCACCAATTTACTGATACATGATGATGACAATGGATTTAATAGACAGTTTTATTTTCGAATTTCGCTTCCATCTGATAATTATGTTTTAGTAGTAACTACTTATTCTTCAAATATTACAGGACTCTTCTCTATAGTCGTAACTGGGCCAGCAACTGTTACTTTTTCTTAAACAAGACTTTTTATGAACAATATATTTTGTTTTAGAAATAAATCATCTTTTTAGTTTTTTACTAATCAGAAAATATTTCTATTAGATATTTTCTCCATGATCGATATAAATCAATCCGAGACGAACTTTAAAATAAAATCACAATGCATACCAATCTCAATTTGGAAAGTAGAAATGAATTGTAGAGAACTTTCTCATGTTGAAATATTTTTAAGTCCCTTGTGAATATTCAAACATGTTCAAATCTGTGCATTTATCCTCATGTACATTATGGATAGGAAAACTAGCAATGATGCACTCAATTACCAACTTACTGCAAGTCACTTCGGTCATTCTCTTGTTATATGATGTCATTCATGCGAAAGATAAGGAGCTATCCATAGGGTGGGTGTGGGTGTAGGCTTCTGCAATATCGACGCCAACACCCACACCCACCCTGGTTACTACGTTTTAATAAAAGCACATGCTGCTAAGTACAACGAGTTGCACTAACTTTTCACTAGATTTCGAGTTTTTAGGGAAATTAATCCGTGGAATTTGAGTCCAAATCGAATGTCCTATATGATTTGCGCTCTTGGCCGAAAAGTCACAGGAATTTCAGTCCAGACCGAAATTCATGTGATTCCTTTTAACAGGAAAGAATTCGAACATAAACTAGTTAAGAAAATTCTTTAAATAGTTGTTGTCATTCATGGTATAGAATAGATCTACAGAAAAATCCTGAAAGACGTTATATACGTAATCATTGTAATGCAAGCAGAACAGATAGCAAACATCTGACTTCTATCTTTTTGAAAGTCATTCTTCTCTGACGTCAGTAACTGGAAGCGACGTGATAAAATTTATTTTGAAGATCGGATTACTGTAAAACTCGCTGTTGACAATGTATGATATAGAATTAAAAGCGATGGTTTTTATTGATTTAACTTGTGTGCTATATTGATAGTATATGAAAAAGCAGAATGGTATATAAAGACGCAACCCACATCGTTGAAAATATTCATTTGCTTAACAATTGAATAGATTCCAAAGTTACATGATAATGTCTACTTATTGGTTAGCCATTACACTCTTGACCATTAGCAGCACCTCAAGTAAGACGAATTTCTTTTAATACGTGATTTTCAAACGGAGCATTATTACTTATTTCGCATAATAGTTCAATTTATTAAAATTAGGAAGTTTCTTGTGCATTCGACTACGATCGAACTGCGGCGCAGTTACTAAAAGAATACCATCGGTTAGGAATCCAAATCCGAAGTTAGAGTTTTTATTTTCATATTTTTATTATAAATTATTAGTAATTGATAATAAAAAAATGAAAGACTGGTTAAAAAATTAAAAAATTAAAATATGCAATTACAATAAAAAAATTACTATTAAAAAATTTTAAAAAAGCTAAAATGAAAAAAATTTAGAAAACAACCTAAAATAAGAACATTAAA